CTGGAGTCTCTAACTTCTGTATCTGAGCTTTAAGGTATCATTTTGAATTTCTTCAGTTATAATTAAATATACCTCCTTTTGATGGCAGACCTGTGTTAGTAAGTTCCCTACAGATGCTATCCGTGTGGTGCTCTCCATTGGGCTGATACAGGTGTTTGGGGAGCTGAATGAAAAAACAGATCACTTGTATTATTTAGCTTTACATAATCGTTATTACTCCTCTCCCCTGAAGATTAATTTATTTTAAATTATTTCAGTATTGTGGTATATGGAGCTGAGTCTCAAGGCAGTGCCAAACTGCAGAGTGCAGGCAGAAATGAGAAGAGAGGAGGGAAAGTCTGGGTACGCTATAAGCAATTTTCGTTGTCAAAAGGAACGTCACCTTCAGTATCCTGGTAGTAAGTAGAAGCTTGAAAATATGTCGTTGGTATAAAAGATGTTGGCAATATTGGGAGGAAATGTAATTAATTCCCATGCTTCTAACAAAGGTGTCGGTTGTATATGAAGTTCAGTGGAGCTCCTACCCATAAAACTTTACTTTTATGTAATGAAAGAGTGCCGCAGCTATGAAGGGCATCTCTCTAAGCCCTCCTGTCCCTTCAGGGGAGAAAGGAGAATGTTTCTTTGTTTGAAGATTGAAAGAGAGGCTCATCTCTCTGCTCCAAACTTGCAAAGAGGAAGAAATCAAATTTCCAGAGGCAGAGGGTTGGAACCATGACAGGAAGCCAATACTCAGATGCTCTCATGCTTAGTCTTCGAATTGCCTTCATCTGTCCTCATGAACGCTGTGTAGACTGGTGGTATGATCATTTTGAAAATGGCATTTGCTGCAAATGAGAAGTTGCAGTTGTGATGGATGGGTGAAAGGAGTGAAAAATGGCTGGGCTGAAATGCAAGTGGGATTTAAGATTGCTCCAGATCTGTTTGAAAGATTAATTAGAGAAGATATAAAGAATTAGCCCAAAAAGGCCACAGGGGGAAAAAGAGAGGGAGAGAGGCTGATCAGCCAAGTAAGCTATTGCAGAAGGTAAGGCTTTGTACGGATAGAGTGAGGTTTGTTACACTTTACAATGAGTTAACTAGTACTTTTGGGGAAAAAAAAAAAAAAAACACCTTAAAATATTCTTTAGCTATGTACATAAAAGGAGAATTAGCAAAAAAGTGGATTTGTCATGCAGATGGAGTACAGATTAAGAATAGTTTAGGTGTAGTCTGCAAACCAAATTAATACTTGTTCTGTTTGCAATAAGGAAGAAGCCATGGCCCAGCAGGGTAAAGGTGAGATATGTACCGGAAACTAGAGTATGGAAGTAGAAGTTCGTACAAATAAGATGGAGGCTAAATCTCAGAACTTTAGTACGGTCAAATCATGGCTATTGGATAATCTCTAGGCAGAGTTCAGACACAATGATTTTGAGAAATCACAGATCTGAAGGTAGTTATTGTTGACGAAAATACCTTAGGTTGGAGGTGGTACCGTCTGATCAGAGGACAGCAGATTTAATGGCTATATTTAAGTCAGCAGAGGGGAACTAATTATGGCATCAACAGACCTTTTAGTCTGACACAGTAGTAGTCAAGACTTTAGAAAAGATTTTGAGGGGAAAAAATAGGTAAATATTATGATTATAATGCAGTATGATTTACTATCTCCCTAAAGATAGAACGTGTCCAACTCTCTGGAAACTTTAAGAAAATCTGAATTTCCTTTGTTAAGAAAATCTGGTGACCTCTTTAGGACTCGATAAAGTGTTTGATAAAATGCCAGTAGGAAGTGTAGAGGAGATGAGCAGAGAAAATACTGAGTAAGACCTGGCTTTAGCAGAAGCAGTGCCGGGTTGAATTCAGAGAAGTATTGGGCTGGAGAGGAGTTACTAGCTGAATTGTTCTGGAACTGATTTCAAAACTCAACTGTGTTAGTATGGTCTTAATGTTGGGAATGTGAAAAGTAAGATTGGTCTGGTAAAATTTCCTGATGAGGGAATGCTACGAGGGAGGAGAGAGGAGCACAATATGTTGCAGAAAGTGCTGAATGACTCTGAGATGTGGAGTTTTGGGGAGAGGAGAGAAATTCAAGAGTAGAATATGCATTTAGGGACCAAAAACAAGATAAGATAAAATAAGATAAAAGCTGATAAACGAAAATGATGGAAGAAAAGACATTTCCGTCTCATACAAAGTATGAACACCAGTGTATGCCCCTCTTGTCATTTGCCTTGAAAAAGGATTGATGTGAACTGGAGAAAATGCAAATAAAAATTATGAGAATGATGAGGGAACTTCAGAACTATTTTTTTTTTTCCTGGGATTGCAAAGGTTGACAGGAGGGAGGATTGGAGCCTGTGCATTCAAAAGCTCACATGCAAGGAAGAAGAGCTTTTAAGTGAAAGGACTGTTTTGACACAAGAACAGATGGATGGAAGTTAGTAAACCTGGAAATTTAAAGGTTCTTATTCATAATAAGAGCAATAAGAGTCTAATACAGCCGTTCAGTTGGAACGGGAATATGCTTTATTATCTCTAGGATGAAACATAACTTTATAAAGAGTATATGGTGTGCTTGTGATTATGCAGAGTAAATAAAGATTGATGACCGAGGAGGTTTCTTCACATCTTTTTATTTGCGTCTTCATGGATATTTGAGTCTAGAGAAGATGAAGCACCGTACCTAAAACACTGGCTAGTTGTTTGATGAAAGCAACATTCCATTTATTTAGCACCAGCGAGACCTTCTTTCTCATAAAATTGCTTAGTTATAATATTATGATAAAGAGAGATTTAAGTCAAAACTATGCCAGTAGCGGATAGTAAGAAAAGGCAAAAGAGAGGCAGCATCAGCGCAAGATCACAGAAGTTGCTGTTAGGGTTTGAGGGAAAGTAGAACAAGAAGTTTCACTTCTGATGCAAATCTTGGGAACTAAGAGCTTGATGCAAGTATGGGCATAATAGTGTCATTCTAAATTCATGAAAATAGCTTTACAAATGCAGGAGAGGCAAAGTGGGGTCAGTGCAATTCAAACACACGATGACAATTTTAGCCTAAATAGAATGCTCTTTGTGACTAGATGAATTAATTACTGTAAGACAGTGTTCTTGCTTGTCATTCTGATTCTTTCTGCTTGTTAATCACTCCTAAATTGTAGCTATTGGAATATTAAGATTTATTACTTATATATTTTTGCTAATTTATTTTCGAGTTTCATGTTTGTTTGCATATTAACGTAAATGTTTTAAATGTCTCTTATTTTACATTTCTGCTCTGTCGTCTTTAGTGCTTTCTTTCTGCCTATCAAGTGTTATTGTTCTACCGAAACACTGTATGACTGTTTTAAAATGTTTTGCTTTTGCAGTCAAGCTTAATTTACATATTAAGCAAATGTCATGACACGCCAAGTCTGAGCTGAGGAAGAGATTAGGTGTGTGAAAAATAAGCTCGAGTGGCAATGAGAAGGAACGTTTGTAGAATGGTTTTAGATGACTCTTTGTGCCCCATTGATCTGGAGCAGTGATTCAGTGTTTCTCCTCTTATTGCTTATGATAGTGGTAAAACAGTGGAGAAAACTTCAGATCTGCAGAAGATACTAACAGAACTCAGTGTGATACGAATGGGATGGAGTTTTACCCTCTGCTGATCATATGGAAGACTTTAAACTTGAAACTTGAGAAAATTCTCCTCTGATGCCAGGAGTTGTAGTAAAAAGGAAACAGAACAACAGATAATAGTGAAATGCATGCATATTTATTTGCAAAAGAAAACACTTATTTTTGGTTGTACAAACCACTGAGGTCTTAGTATATTTTTCCCTCTTACTTTTTTTCAAAGAGCTGCTGATCTTTTGAAAAAAATAATTGAGGGAATTAATCTTCTGTTTATCCAAACTGTTCTGTATTCTTTCTCTGTGGTTTTTTTGTTTGTTTAATTACACGGAACATTTGCATGAAAATAGGATTTTAAGACTCAAACAGCTTCTGATGTTTTTTCCCAGATACGTGGGGTAAACCACATTTATTATGTTTGTAAACCAAAACAGCTATTATTATGTAAAATTCCTTGCATGTTTTTTTTACACAGAGTTATTAATAAATATTTGAGAGTATGCTTTAGAAAAGTTTCCCCCCCCCCCTTGAAATCATGCACCAGTAATGAATATCACTTCCCTCCCCCGCCCCTTGTCTCTCGCCTTCAAAACTTGCTAAAGAAGCCATATTGGTAGTCATCTCATTCTGGGGCTATTTCCAACGAGGTTTCTGTAGTTTCCTCATTTCTTTAAGAAAATAGTGTCCTCTGCTACACAAAATCTTTAGTTTTGCTAAAGTTTGCAAAAGTTCTTTGAGATATTTATGAGATTTTTCATCTTCCCATTTAAAAGGCTCTTTGGAACTTTTATTGTTAGGAAAAGCAAATGGATTTATAGGAAAACGTGTCTGCAGTGAAATGCAAATCCAGATTCTATTTTATGTGGATATTTCCTCTGGGAATGGTTATCATATGACAGAAACTACTTGAGTTTAGGCACAGACTGTTCACTGTATTGCTGCAGAAATAGAAAGGAGGGGGACAGCATGTTGCTCTACAAGTTCTAAGCTAAACTTGTGTAACTTTTTTTTTTTTTACCTCATCAATAGAATATTTGAAAATTTTGTATGATCTTTTAAAAAAAAAATTATTTTCTGAAATACACATTAGGTTCTGGATTGGCAGTTTAGATGTTCAGTGACCGATGACACGCTTTTCAGCACAAGAAATGTATTTTTACTATTTCTCTCCAAGTTCTGTTTTCCCACAACAGATCGTCTTTAGATTACGTGTTGACTGCTTGCAACATATGAAACTTCTGCTATAAAAGAGATGAGATTCTATGACTGTGTTGAATTACAGAATAAATAAATAAGATTTAACTAGATCATATTTGATGTGCGGGATTACTGAACTTTGAACATATAAAAATAATCATTTATGTGACTATAAAGCTTAACATTTCTGACCTCTCTTTATTTAGATTTCTAATATTGGGAAGCTGAAAGATTTTCTTCTGCAACACAGAAAAGATTACATTAATGCTTACAGGTAAGTGCAGGTTTAAATAGTTTTTTATTATTATTGTTTTCAGTTTTATAAAATGGACGGCTTAAAAACCCGTATGCACAGTGACTAAAAACAAGCTGTAGTTTGCTGATAAATTGGCTTACTGTAAGCTATTTAAGATGAATAGTTCTGTCACAGGAAGAAAATGGTCCTGAATAAAATGAGGTTCAGAATTTGAATATTGTTTCTGGCTATTAGGAGTGAGTTTTGAAACAAAACAACCTTGCAGTCTGAGCTCAGCACCTTTTAAGGACAAGAAAAGTAAGTTTCTGAGGTGGATCTTGAGATAGGAGAAGACTAGATTTAGTGGTCCAGGTTATCCTTTTCAGTCTGTGATACTTGAGCTATCTGTTACCACTAAGTATATGGTCAGTAGCATCAACAGATATTGGAGCTGCATGAAATGAGTTCCTGCGATTCTGAAACACGAATTCCGAATAAAGGACATCATTGAGAATGTGTTGTCAGGGACATCAGCACAGAATTTATTTGCTTTTCTGTGACAAAAAAATCAGGTTTCGGTTCTGGTAGTTATAATTGCATGGAGAAAGTTTTAATTCTCCTCAGCCATTAGGAAACGTTCAAAAATTGCTGAATCTGCTTACTGGCTGATAGCTTCGGGAGTAGGATTTTTTGTAAATAAACTTCTGCTTTAATCTTCTGAGCGGTGCTAGTAAGAAAGAGTATCTTACGGTCTGCAGATTTAGTATCCGTAATGAATTCATAAATCAAGTTACCCTAAGAGCTAAAAGTTTAATTTTATTGCAACTTGTATTTTGAAGAGCTGAGTACAAGCAATCAAATCACTCGAGACAGAAAACTTAACTTTTTAATGAAACTTCTGTTAAAAGTTCTTTGAACTAATAACCGATTTATTTTATTTCCTATTCTAGAAATGGGCTTGTAACACACTTTTTTGTGACTGTTATAAATAATTATTTGAAATAAGTAATAGCCTCTTCATGTCTTCATAATGCAGACCCCACAACATCCAACTAATCTTCCCTCTAACTCTCCTTCCTCCTTCGTAATCTGTCGTTAGCAGTGCAGCATAAACTATAATAAACGCTGTCTGTGGGGGAAACGTGTGTGGGGAAAAATCCTCATCAAAACTGCCTTCATCATACTGTCATTTAAATCAGGATGAGCTGCCCACTCTGCTTACGTGTGGGGAAAGAGGTGGTCTCCATGGTCCTTGGACTCCCGTTCGTTTTGAGATTCATGATTCAAAAACTACACTTTAAAAATTCCATCCTAACTGGGATGCATTAAAGAATGGGGTTGCACCCTTTAACAAAGAAGCCATTAAATTTTGTACCAAGTGGAGTTTCCAGGTTGTATAGATGCAGCCTTTTATTTTAAAGAGATGTCAGCAAGGTATTCTTGAGGTGACTGACATGGATCATTGCGGCAATGCCCTTTTCAAAAAAATCACTTAAAACAACTACCCATCTTTTTTCCACAGTCATCTGAGAAAATACCTGTGCAAGATTATTTTTTTTTGTTGTATATCCAAATGAAACAGCATAGGTCAACTTCTTCCCTTTGAAGGAGCTGCTGTGAACTCCACAATTTGCTGAGATGTTTTTCCAGTCCGTCACCATAATTGCAGTATCGCATGAATTGAGTCATCCCTGTCTATGCTCTGCTTTTTGCCACAACCATGAGTAAACTAAGCTGTTGTTGCACTCAGGGTGGAGAAAATACAGCTTAAAGTCATGTAAGTGTTGAAGATGTTCAATCCCAAATCAGCTTAATGCCTTTCTCTGAAAGGCTTCACAGGTACAAAATACGAATGTTATCCAGACAGAAGTATTTAAATCCCATGCAAGAAGACAAAGGGAACAGATGAGCCATCTGCTGTTTCTTTGCCTCGGTCTATATTGGACAAACGGTCTTTCTCCAAAAAAACTTGTAAGCCTAAAGGGTCTGTCGCAGCAATAGCAATACTGTATGGTCAGTGGTATCTAAACATGCCCCTAAGTAAGTTGCCAGAAGATTTCTGGCACCTTGCCCCACACCCACCCTCTAGATTTTAAAAATAGCATTTTGTTATTGCAGGAATGAAACCAAAAAATGAAGATTTTGGCATGTTTTAGAATTGTAAGGCAGTGAGAACTACTCATAATTAGTACCCATGAAAAAGAAGCTCAGCGCGCTCATGCTGTCTCACTTTCTGTGTATATGTTGTTGCGGATGAATGACGAGTGATGTGCTTCACTTGTAAGAGAGAAGCAGCAGTATGTTTTATTGAGATAAGTTAGTGATTTAACAAAATTCAATCGTAGGTAAGACAGTGATTTAAGAAGGGTCAATGGAAAGGTTCACTTGGTTATTTACTGCGTGGAGGACAGAATCAGACAAAACCATAAAGGAGACCCTCCCGTTGAGTCACGAGGTTCAGAATGGACCCCCTTGCTTTCTGAACTCCTCCTCGAAGAGGAGTGTAGGTGTGGCTGAATCCGATCTTAGTCCCAGACTTGGTCAACGGTTTATGTGCACGATCCATCTGACCTACAACTTAGCAAAATTTGCAAAGCTTCAGCATGCTATTAGTCACTTAGAGAGGATCTGTCACAGGTAAGGAATCTCTCGACCTCGAGGAGTAACCTTGAGAAGCATCCCAACTCAAGGGGAGATTCATCACCGTGCAGCCAGCTGCCATGCAGGAGAGTTCAATGGGCTCTAGGCTGCTGCACTATTTATGGGCACAGAGTTTGACTCATGGGCATACGATATATGGTGTGGAGATGCACCTTTTTTGCTGACCTCATGCCATGTAGGAGAAAATATGCCCCTTTTTGCTGATCTCATGCTGGTTTCTGGCCTCACCGTTTGCAACCAGTATCATCACCTAGTTCCTCCTGGTCACCCTTGAGCACTGTCAGTTATTTGTAGTCAGTTGGAGCCCAAGATGAGGGAGTTGCACTCTGCCACGCTTTGGGCTTGAGATTGGGGTGGGGGGTAGTTGCACTCTGCCATATGTGTACATATGGCTCAGTTCTCTGTGGAAGGTGTAGGAGGAAATGCTTTTCCAAGGAGCAAGCAAAAATAGTATACAGCTATGTGACATGACCAGCTCTCTGTTTTTGAAATCTTGTTTGAGATAGTTAATGAACAGCACTAGGTGGAACTACCAATTTAATACTGAAGTAACTGTTTTTATCATGTGAAAGCTTTAATGTGAATGCCTAAACTGAGAAACTGCAAATAATTGCAGTAAGGACAACCCATCAGTAGCAGTTAACTTTTGGGTTCTATATGTGTTTTATTGGCAATAACAGGTCTGAAAGTGAAGTGGTATAAGGAGTAAAAGTTAGTCTAAGCTATTTTGGCTTCTAAAAGTTGGTGGTGGTGGTTTTTTTTTTTTTTAATTTTATTAATAAATTCTTTTAACTAGTTATCATGGTAATTCTCAGTGATTTTCTTTTTTTCCTCAGGCATTAGCTAAAGAAGGGAGGAAAAAAAAGGAGCGCTGTTCATTCTTAAACCATAAAAAGCCCTCCTCATCTCTGATTCCAGTTGATCCTGTCCTTAAAGGTCAAACTTAAAATAGGTAGTACTGTCAAACTCTATTGTATTGCTTATGCAATTCTACTTTGTGGATAAAAGAAAACTATAGCCTCCAGGCTGTCTGTCTCCCAGTTTTAACAAATACCTTAGTCATTCAAAACAGCAATTTTAATAACTTTTCAGTATGTAAACTATGGGGAAAATTTTTAAAACAGTTTAATGCTAGTGGGCTAACCTGGAAACTTTGTAGGTGGTTTAGTTTTGTTAATAACATATTTGACTTCTCTTTGTTTGGTCAATTCTGCTATTTGTTTTTCAACTATAGTACAATGTATTGGCTTTCAAGTTACTTAATTGAATTGTTCAACTTTATAAAACTTCCTCATAATGTGTTAGATCCAGGTGTGTGTTTGCTTCTTTGATCTTACTTTTGCGGACTAATGATGTCTTTTAGTTTTGGCATACATAAAATACTCTGCTACGAAGGGGAGTTCTTGAATTCCTTTTCAGAGAAAGATTTTTAGCAATGGCAAAGACAGCTGTAAGAAGAGTTAATTGAAACTTAGGTCAAGGCCCCTTTTATCAAATTTAAGTACTTAACTGAAATGCCTGAATTGAGTGCAAAAAGCTTAAGAATTAGTAATTGCTCATTTGCTTCCTTTGTTGAGGTTGCTCTTGATTTGACTTGTAACAATAAAATATGTAAATGGAAAAGCATCTTAAACTAGTGCTGCAGTGATCTAAGCTTGCTAAGTAAAACTGTGCCATTGCTCCTTAACCCTCTTCTGTTTATCAGAATTCATTTGCTGTCTCTTAACGCTTAGCTTTTCAGCTTTCTGTGTTAAGGGATTTTGCTGTTTTGTCGTCTTTCTTCTTGTGTCCTGTCTACTGTGGTTCTGATCTCTGGGTGGAACTTCTAAGAGCTTTAGTTGTACAAACGATGAATCTTTTTTCACTGACAGAGCAAGTTAGGTTGGAAGAGACACTCTGGAAATTGGCCTGCTAGAAGACCCTCTGATTTAGAGGAGTACATGCAGCAGCTCCTCCTTCAAACTTTAGGTTCAAATGTATAGTTATTTCTTATAATTTGGCTTAAAAATTGTGGGTTGTTTTATTCTCTAAACCTATGGCAATAAAAGTAGGAACGTGGGCTTTCTCTGCAATGAACGTTTTGAAGAAAAATGGTATGTGATGAAAGCAGTGAATGAGTAGCAAAGGGTATCAGGGATCCATGTTGTTATCAGTTGTTTCTACTAAGGGAAGGACCCATAATGTTGAATACAACTTGTATTTAGCATTAGAGACTTGTCTTAAAATAAACCTAAGTTTTTTAAAAAGAGCATACTTTGTAGGAGATATTTTCAGATATTTTCTTTTTGGCTTAATTACTCATCTTAATATTTACACATTTCAAAGCCAATTTAGAATTTCTCAAATTTTCTTTTGGATGTCATACTCATGATTAACAA